TGTTTGTTTGTTTGTTTGTTTGTTTTGCTGTTCAGAATGTAGAATCTGGCCTTCATATCTGAGGTATTACACAGATATGTCATCCTGATTTAGCTAGGAGTAGTGTCACAGTTTACAAAACTGGAGTAATAAAGCCAATTTTCTGTCGGGTGGCTGCTAGGAAGGGCTAGTACTGATTGTGCCTTTGAGCCTCTGGATCTATAGTCTGCAGGTCTATGTTCAGAAATGTTTGTGTTGCATGTGAAAAGCAAAGACAATTTAAAAAGTAATTTCTGAAGATATCACAATTATTGAATGTTCTAAAATGCTTCTATCTCATGAATCTTCAAGATTACCAAAATTTCTGTCTCTCTGGGGTTCTTTTCCTAATTATAGCAGTATGCTATTCTGATGGGGTTCCAAATCTAGGAATCTCCATCAGGTGCAAGATGGGAATACATTGAAGTTTCCAAAAATAGTTTTCTGGAATAGCATTACTGTAACCTAGGATACTGGCAATGATATTACTTCCAACTATGATTTCCCACTTATAATGTCATTTGATAATAAGGAACTTACATTATTTCACCTCACTCTCAGAACTGCACCTTCATCTGGTGTGGTAGGATCGGAGTATAAAATTAACTGCTCTAATCTAAGCCTGTTTTCCTCAATCTGGTGTCCTCCAAATGTGTTGGATGTGTAACTCCCAGAATCCCAAACCAGCCTAGCCTTTGGAGGGACCTACAGTCTACCAGTACATTGATAGGAAGAAGAGATATCCAATACTGGAAGTTTGCTGCAGCTTTTAATGATTTTTTTTATTGTAGAATCATTTTAAATTCGAACTTCAAGATTCCTACAACCTGACTCTTATTAGTTGAGCTGTATAGAAGACTTGGCTCTGAAAAAAATTAATGCAATGGGATGAAAATCATTGCTAAACTCTCTGTCATATGTCTGGTCTCTTGTATATTGTAATGACAGAAACTGATATAAACTACATATTTTGGCAACCCCCACTTCTCAAAAAGCCTTGAGGCAACTCACCAGTACTTCATCATAATTTTAGAATCACAAAATGAATCTCTGAAGTATAGTAAGAAAGTATAAGTTGACATTAATAGCGTGGAATATACTTGCCAGGTGAATGTCCTTCTTTACTCTGATCCCCTGACCAATTATCTACTTCCAGTTTTCTGCTGTTCTTTAAATCAAATATATTTTATTCAAATCTTTAAATTAATGAATTGCCATTTGTATTTTTATTCCATCAAATGTACAGCGACTCACTTATTTTTAAAAGAGGGGCCAGTTCTTTCTGTGCTCCTGGGAAGTCTTTCGGGCTGTGATTGCTGAAAACTGATGGCACAAATTCCTGCCATTATGAGATGGGATTTATTTATTTTTTTTGCATGCATGCAATTTTCTTTTAATCTATCCTTTTTTGGGAGGAAATAGTTTGAAAATCAGAACAATGCATTACTTTCTGCTTCATAAAAGAATAGAAATGCTTGAAAGTAAGATAATTAAATAATAAAAGTAATTTCTTCTATCAGGTAAATTACTGTTAATTATTATTTACTTTTTATTTAAAATTGATCTCTTACAAAGAAATTTGAAATATGCTTATATTAATACTACTTGAATTAATACAGTTGTCTCTGATGTCTTTTAAATTTCTGCTTGTTTAGGGGTGCTGCCATTTGACAGTCTCCCTACCACCTTTTTAAAAAAAAAGCCAATACCACATGCCTTTTCTGAAGGCATTATTGTTAAAACAGCTGTCCCTCCTCTGTTCAGTTACAAAGCAGTATGTTGACTGAAAGGGCAGAGTTTCCCCATCCCCCATAAGATTATAAAACCAAAGGCTAATTAAAATAATAATTACATATAATAAATACTTTTACAGCATATTTTATTGAAGGGTATCAGAGTACACAGTTTTCCACTCCCCACAGAGTCTCCTGTTGAAAAGAACATTTTGTAGTTGTTTAGTATACAGAGTATTGACAGTTTCAGAAAAAGAGAAAACTGGAGATATGGTATTCTGAAATAAACAGCATCCATTTTATTCTACAAGACACACATTGATTTATTTCTTTATTTAGCATGTCCTGTCCTGTCCTCCTGTCCCTCATACGAGGCACACAACTTTGTTAGGTAGTTCAGGAAGATAATGAGAATCAGGGATTTGAGTATAGGTTTCTAATATTTATGTAGGCTGCCCTGCTGACTTCCAGATATACTGGACTTGAATACTGCATCTCCAACCAGCATGGGTAAGCAAACATACTGACCAAATTCTAGAATTTGAATTCCAACATTTCTGGAGAGCAACAGACTGAGGAAATCTGGTTTACTAAAGTGATTTAGGAAGTCACATTGCATTGACTTACATCAGATTTCATATGGTGCAAGGACAGATGTTTGTCCTCAAAGAGATCTATCCCATTAGGTTCATGTAATTTTGCTGGCACAAACCAGGTATTTCCACTTTTAAAGATGTAATTCTGTAAACACTTATATGATTCTATAACAGAAGTGAAAATGTATGTAAGTCTTTTGAAAAATGCTCTGCTCTGCTTAAAAGGAGCCCCAGTACTGCTTTGTCTGCTGTAGAGAAAAGAAAAGTCTATATGCTTGTTGGAACCTGTCCTTTCCAGGGATTAATGCACTACAGCTTGAACTGAGCCATCATGGTCAATGGTGCGTTTTGCTGGGTGTTGCTGTTCAGCAATCTCTGGAGAACCATACTAATCCTAACCTGGAACTGTTGGTTTTGCTCTGCTTCCTGACTAGTTGGTAACTTTTTTTCCCTTCTTCTTGCCTTAGGGAGGAACTCAGGAAGATGATGGGTAACTTGGAGAGCATGGAATCTACCCAACTCCTCCTTCCAAAGCACATTTTGGACATATGGGTCATTGTCCTAATCATCCTGGGCACCATTGTCATCATGACGTTACTGGTATTGTGCCCAGCAACCACGGTGATTATTTATAGAGTCTGGACACACCCTATTCATCATAATGGTGCTGAGTGAAATTTGCCTCCTTGTCACTATTTGGACTCTACTTTTGAGGAACGGGGTAAATGCAATAGGAAAAGCAGCCAATTTATCTGGCAGCTTTCAAGATTGGGTTGAGCCTGGTGCAGGCATTGGTGAATTGCCAGCAAGGATATGGCAGCAACACATCTGCGGTCAACATGTGATAAGAATGTTACAGCTCACAAGAAGTATCTTCAAAGCCTGATTATCCATTTGGCCTATGACTATAAAACATTACATCCTGGACTTTATCGCCTCTTGTGGAATCAGCTAAATTGCTACAGAATTCCAGATAATTCCAGTTTTGGTTTCTGATGTGTGTACTTTAATCAGAATGAGTCTTCATGTTTACTGAGCAAACTATTCCAAAGGACCAAGGAGATGGCAGAATCAGATGCCTGAAAAGCAGTCCTTCAGCACAAGTGAAATAGTGGCTGCTTTGCATGAGCAACCTGCTTTATCTGATCTAGACAAACTTTTATCTTCATTCCATGCAAATCAGATGGGATAGAGAGCTAGAGGTCTTAGCTGAAATATTTGTGGTCCATCTTTTCTCCCAGCACCCTTTGTTTCAAGCAGCACCAGTTAAAGAGAATCAGAAGGGAGAAATGAGAAGTCAGCAAATAAGTGACTGGTTGAAATCATATTTGTGGTCTACTGCAGTGGAACAGTACATTCATGATGGGAGATTTGTTTTGAAGAAATTGAATAAACATAATATAGGGAAAGAGAGGGGGAGAGAGAGAGAGAGAGAGAGAAAGGAGGGTAAGATTCTAACAAAATACTTTACTGTAAGGGATTAGTGTAGGATGTGACTATGAGAAAAGGAAAGTTTAAAAAAAAATCATTTGCTCTTGATTTTGTGAAACTAGATTTTTGATAGGAACGTCTATCTCAAGAAAAGATGTTATAGCTACTCTGCCGTACAAGCAGTGTTTGTTTCAGGAGATTGATCCCTGCCATCAAACCTTTTTAAAATATGTTCTCTTTTTAGTAATTGACTTCCTAGAAGTACTGGAGTAGCTTCAATCTGATGCCTTCCATATGGTTGGGAGAAAATCATTCAGAATTCTTGGGGAAAGCCAGTCTAAACAGTTCATTTATCTAGCTGATAGAATAATTTGTATTCTCAAGGACTAGTCAATTTAATGTCTCTTCTCTTTCTCCCATGATTATGGCTGGCTTTAGGGAAAAACACATTCAGTCTCAATTGTTTTCCATTCCCTTGTATAGGAGAGCCGGCAGCCTCTCATCCATGTGGGTTCTTAGACCTCTAAGATCTACAGAGAACAGAAACATTTAGCAGACATTTTGGTCAATAGGTCTTAAAGGAAATACTCTGGTAGGTGAAAAATAATAATAGTGTTTAATAAATGAAGCAATCTGTACTCATACATATCAACAGACACTGGATTCATTTCCAGTCAACATATCATGAGATATTTGTTATATTAAGTTACAATATTGCACAATGCTATATAATAAACTGTTATTAGTACCTATCTCTGAATATTGATTTTTGAATATGGTTTACTTCTTCCTGTTTGGCCTTGAATTGTCTTACAGTATTCTAGTCTTTTATTGTGTAACTGCACACTATTCTAGTCGTCCTTTCTCTGTTTGGTCAAGCTTGAACACTCTCAAAGGAAGCTAAGTTCATGATGCAGTCTTGTATTGTTGCCTATTATACATTATATGGTTATCACCAATTGCCCCAGAGGCAGGAAATACATACGTAAGCCCAAAATATGTGTTAAATACCAAGTGAAAATGGATGCCACCACTAATTGGTGGATCCTTGGGATTAGAAGCTTGCTGAGTACAAGGGTTCAAGCTTATCTGAAAAAAAAGAAAGCTGAGTAAATGGAGGGAAGCCCTCAATAATGAGATGAGTCAGCTTTAGCCTAGAAGAAAGGTAGATGATGTTTTATTTGCTTATATCCTGTTTCCTGTAAGATGAGACCTAGGTGTGGGGCATAAATCAGAGGAATTAAATATGTATTTAATACAAAAGCTACCTTACTGTACTCCATGCATGACTGGTTTGCTCTCAAAATGGAGGAATGGAGTCTCCTTATTCCTGTTATATACTGATGGGCTCTGATTTCCAAGACGTCATGGTGAGATACTCTGCATATTCAGAGACAGCCTGTGTTGTGCTTTGTATTTCACATGGTGTCTGGCAGCCGTGCGCTCTGCATGCCAGGAGGACTGGAGGACCTGTCTATACTAAAGAAGGTCAACTGACCAGCTCTTTTCTTTTCGCTCTTTCTTCTCCTCTCATAAACCCAAGCTAGCCTAAAGCTAATCTTGGTGATTTTGGAGGACTATCCATTTTGTGAGTTTAAAGGAAGAGAAGCAGAGAGGCACCAGTTAGGGCCAGGATTATAAGAGGAAACACTGGAAACATGCCAGGGATCGAAGGGCATTTAAGCTTGACGAATGGAGCATAATACAAAAGTGGTAGGTGGGGTGCTTTGACAGAGCACAGAACTGAGGGAGCACATGGCTAGTCTTAACTATTTCTTTTCATCTGCTTTCTGAAAGGGCTTATTTTAATCGACACCCAGTGCATTAACGAGACCCTGATAGACTGAAACAGAGAACACCAGCAGCATCCAGAAGATTAACTGAACGTATATCCCACACGGAATCTTCATTTATTACAATTGTTTCGCTTCCACTTTTCTAGATAAGTCTTTTCAAAGCAGACTACAAACCATTCAAAGAATTGTAAATAAAAATACAGTAAAATACAGTACAATAAGTGAAAAACCAAGGGGGGGGGGAACATTCCCACAGAGTAATTGGAAACAGTGACACTGTGAGGTAGAAAGTACAAGTCCATCTGAGGCTTCTTTCCCTTCCTCTCACAGGACACTTTGTGGTAATGGCCCTGTTTGGGGCCAGTAAAAATCCAGTTGGTAAGCTTCATGCTAACAGTTACATTAAACAATAAGGATACTGAAATTAGTACAGGAACATGACAGTTACATCGCTGGTATTGTTAGAGTCTGTACTTTCCTTCCATTTACTTATTCTTGTCCTGCTGTAAATCACACATTGAATTCAGGATTTCTTTAGAACTTTTTTAAAAAGGAAAGAAAAACTGCACAAGATCAGACCTGTTCTCAAAACAGAAACCACAATTTCTGTCAAGTCACAGGTATATAAGGAAATGTGAAAACAGGACACAAGATGTCGCACATCTTGTACTACATTTGATCTTAGCCACACCAACATTTCTCAACACACTGGTGCTACCGTGGTTCATCCCACAGGTTTTTACCCCTCTTTGTCTCTGTTTTGGCACTTCTCTTGTCGCTGCCCCTTAGCTGACAATGGCAGCAGCCACGCATTTCCTCATGATCCCCAGCAGTGACAATTAAGCTGCTCAGATATTGGTCAATGGTGGGTGCAGCTCTTTCCCCAGTGGCTTATGAGCAAACACAACCCAGCAGCAAGGACCAGAGTCATAATCTCCCAAATAGTCTACGTGTGGCCTTTATCTAACGGCTTCCCCATTATCTCACTTTCTCTCTTCGCTCTCATCGTACCTCCACCAACATTGCCCTTAGAACACATCTGTTTTCAGCTGTTCTTCCACTTCCACTTTCCTCTCTCCTTCTGACAAGAACGTTCACTACTGTCAGGCCTTTGAGGAAGGCCAGCTCAAGAAACAGACATGGTTGGGGCTCCAGGAACGCCCTTTATTGTAGTAAGATAAAATAACCACATTTTGAAAGCCTATCCAAGCTTCTGCAGATCCCATCTTATACTAAACACAATCAAGGTGGGATTATTTTGAATTTCTTTCAGGACTTTGTAATATTTTCTGCAAGTCCCCCCTTAATGACTTGCTGATTCTTTCTCTATGCCCAAGGTCAATTCTACATTCCTTTACAACCACCCAACATTTCATATTCATATCCTGTCCGCTTTTCCCTAACAGCTTTCCTCCAAAGTCAAAATTCAATACTTAAATTAACATTGGACTAACTAGCTACAAACAACCCTGGGTGCTATCTGAAAAAAGAACTGCATTCAGAGCATAATAGTAAGATAGTTCAGTATTATCCCATAGCACAGGCGGACTGGCCAAAATCTATCCATTTTACAGACATCTTTGGCTGTTTTTCTCCAAAATTAATCTCAAGTTAGGGATATAAGACTTGTTTGTTCAACTTGTATACAGCCAAATCCTCTGGAACTCTAAGCAGCTGACAATTTTTGTACACTTAAAACAGGCACAAATATATGATCATGCAAATCTTCGTGCATCATTCTAATTTTAGTACACGTGCTGCTGAAGTTCTATAGCTGCAGAGAGATTTGAAAGTGGAATGTCCTGGTTCACAGCTCAGATATATTATCAGTTAAACCCTGAGCCCTACATTTTTATGAAGAAGTCAAGGGCTGTTAAGTACGGAGTCTCTAAAGTAAGATTTGGGAATATGCTAAGTACAAATCCAGTTAAGTTTATGTGATACACTTGGTCTCATATTAGTCTTAATTATGAGGAAACATTTTTTCTCCAAGGAATTAATAAGAGACTCAATTAGGATAAAAACTGCTGCATAGGAAACAGTTTCAGTCAGAGAGTGGCAGGGGGGAACAAGGAGACAATTACAGTAAATGAAATGTGATACTCAGAAAAATAATGTGCCTTACGCCAGATCATTTATAACCAAACCTGTGTTCAGTTAGTGCCCCAGAAATATATTTGACTTTTCTCTGCAAGCATATAGCTGTGGAAAGAAATGCTAGTGTCTCTGAGTGCACAAACTAATTTACTAGAGACTATTCAACCTTGGAAGAACATCTAAAATAATGTGTGTGCGTTTGTGTGTTTGTAATAAATTGCCTCAGGCCTGTGAGGAAAATTATTAGTAGCCTTCTATAAGTTTTAATGTTAGTTTTGATTGCATTTAATAAAGCCAAGTTAGCTGAAATGTGACCTGTAG